GGGGCCGGGACGTACGGCAGTGCTGCGGCAGTGCACCACATGTATATTGTTTCCCCCGCCGCCCCGCCCGGCCCTACCCCAGGGGCCCTACGCACGGACAGGTGATTGGACCGGATGGGAGGCCCGCCCGGCTCGGCTCGGCATCTCGGCCTGGTTGCCGCGGCAATTTGCTACAAAATTGAGACTTGTTACGCCCACTTGGGGCTGTCGTGGCGGTAGTACGGCGGGGCGCCCGGCGTGATGGGGGTCCACGACGGGGGCTACCGCGCGCTGCCACCGCACCGCCGCCACTGCCACTATACTACTATACCGCGCCGCGCGCCGCCACGCCACGCCCTGCTGCGGCTCCCGGGGCCTACGGGACCGTTTACATTTCTGTGAGCCAAACTAATGCGGAGCTCCCCCCCCCCCCGGCCACACGCGCGGCCCGGCCGCACAAGACTCATTACTTTCACTCGGAGGTCCCACCCCGCAGCGCACACTGGAAACCAAAGTGTGTGAATGTCGCACAGTTGTAGGTGTGTCAGCGCCATTCGTACACATAGAGGCACCAGTTTCAAATGACAATTCACACTTTTAGTCCTCTAAGTGTACGAATTGTCATTCACACACCTACGTATGCGACATTTACACACTTGGGTTTCCGGTGCAACCGCCCTTCATACAGTGTAGAGATACATCGTGGTCCTCCCTCTTCCTCTCCCCGCCCCTCTTGGGGTACAGCCGCGTGGGGCAACCCCTCTGGCCAACGACCGATCGACTCTGACTCTGATTGGGACGGAAATGGAGCGATCAGGGTCGTGATCCGGACTGATTCCATTCCACCGGGAGCTTCAGAAGCCGCACGTCCCCGTCCCCCCATGGAGCCGAGCCATGGAGCCGAGTCGTGGCCGGAGAGCCGGGGTCAGCAGCAAGCAGCCTGCCGTTCTGCTTCGTCTCGTCGATGAAGAGTTTTGGAGAGGCTCGACTCGCGGACGGGGCAGTGTAGTACTACTACGCCCCGCGGATGCGCCCTGGCGATCCCCACTTGTACCACAACGCCAATGTGGAGGAGATCTTTCCGCTAAGCTAAGCGCTCTGCGAGCGCAAACGATGTGGTTGCCGCGCGAGATTGACTTGTCACGAATAGGGAGGGCAGTGCGGGGTGGGGCGGGGCGGGGCGCGGTGGCCGCGGGTGTGGCGCCCCACCGTCGCGCGCGTGGCGCCAGCAGGAGCGGGAGGAAGGGAACGTGACGACAGAGGAGGGGGACCACAGACGAGAAGAAGAGTTTCGGGACGCGAGGTTATTGTCTGGTGCAACGGCCGCCACGGCCGCTGGGCAAGGCCCGGCCGGACCCCCGGCAGGTGCAGCGGGGATGCACCCCGCCCCGCCCACAACCCCTACGCCTGACGAGGACAAAAAGCGTCCTCGCCGCGCTCGTTAAAATCACATCGGAAGGGTTGGAGAGCGGCCGGCCCCGCGGCCCGCGAGTGCATCAAGCACGTGTGCATGCGTGCATCGGTGCCCGGGGTGACGGCAACCACGAGACGCGGCCGCGGCCAAGCGCGTTTCCCTTTTTCGAGGTCGTCAAATCCTTGGTGAGGAGGTGAGGACGTAGCCGTCGCCGCGCTCGCCCGCTGACAGCTCCGGGTGACAGACGCGCTCCGGCGTGGCGGTGAGTGGCGCCGGAAATGTGTCGAGTCCGACTCTCATCTTCCTGCTGCTCCTCACTGCTTTCCTCGAGGAGGAGGGACGCGCGGGATCGACTCCGGAAACGGCTCGACACTAAACGCCCGCCGTTTGAGGAGCTCCCGGGCGCGCGGCGATAGCGGTGGTTGCGGCGGGGCGGGGTGGGGCGGGGCGGGGTGGGGCAGGGCGAGCCTGCGCGGGGACAGACAGGCGCGCGATGGATCGCGTTAATTACCATGGGAGCTTGGAGCGGGGCGGAGCGGCCGATACGGAGAGACGACGTGATCATCGCATGCCGCGGCCGCAAATGTCTCTATCTATCCATCCCGAGCCGCTCGGGCAGCACGTAGCGCTGGCTATGGCGCCTCCTGGCCTGGAGGCCGCCGGTCCCCCCGGGAGCGGAGCGTGACGGGCCCGCCGCGCCCCGCCGCCACCGCCACCGCCCAGCACGAAACGCGATCACGCCAATATTTTGGTTGGATCCAGGCCGATCCCATCGGGGAGCCCTTCTCCAGTGATTGTGCTGCGAGTGTGTGTGGGCGGCCACGGCCCCGGTGGTGGTGGGCGGTCGGTCGGGTGGTGGCCCGGCAGGCTAGCAGCGAGGCCGCCGGAGGCCGCAGCCGCCACTGCTGCACGCCACGGAGAGCGGTGGTCCAGGCCAGTGTCACGATCGGGTGAGTGCCGAACTCTCTGCTCGGTTAGATGTGGTGTGGTTCCCACCAGAGCTGCTGCTGCTGCTGCTGCCGGCCGCGGCCCACCCATTGTCGGCCCCCCTGAGCCCCACGTGTACGGAGTGGCGTGCCGCGGGGCGGGGTGGGGCGGGGCAGAGTGGGGCGCAAGGCGTGCGCTGGCCGCGACGCACCGCGCCGCGCAGAGACAATGTTGCAAGACAAAAGCTCTGGTGCGCGGCCTTAATTCTCTGTGTCGATGACAGCCGGTGAGGAGTTGGAGTTGAGGTGTGGCCCGCGACGCCCCACCGCCCTGCCCCGCTCCACCCCACGGCCCCGCCACGCCCCGCCACGCCTCCCGTCCTCCATCCCGGCGAGCGAATCCAACTCATCGAACTAACCCGATCCCGTCATTGCCGGGCCCGGGCCGGCGGCCGCCTCGCCTCCTCCAGGCCCCCGTTGGCCCCCGCGCTGGGCCCCGTTGGTACCCCGGGCACGTCGCGGCCGCCCGCCGGATTAGCGCCGCTTGGGGCCTAACGCCAAATTCCTGATGATCGCCTCTCATATTTTGGGCTTACGGGCGACACGCACGACGAGGCACACGGCGGCCTCGCTCGGCGACGGGCATCAGGATGGCGGCCACCAGCACCGGGCGTCTCGTTATTGCGCCAACATTACATTACATTGTACAAAACTTTGTGAACTGTACAAAGTTTGCCTGCGCCGATGGAGGCGGTAGGCAACCCAATTTCCGCGGTGCAAAGCATTCGTTTCCCGTCTGATTTCTCGAGTGCGCTGCTTTCTCACGCAGTCGCGGCCGCGCCCAACGGGGGACCCGAGATGCTCGCGACGCGACTCGGTGCGGCGGCGACCTCGGCGGGGTCCCTTGTGGGGTCCCCGGCGGCAGTGACACGCCTGGAGCCGGACCCGCCCGGGCCTCGCGCGCGCCCGCTCTTGCGCCCGCTGCACAATAGGAAGAGCGGAGCCAAAGTCGATCACAGCGCTACGCGCCGCCACGCCACGTTACGTCAAGACCTGTCCTGACAATAGAACCGAGGGACTTATTGGCAGTCCAGGGCGAGGTCGTAAGGATGCGTCTGGTGGAGAGGGGAAGAGACAGAGTGAAAGAGAGAGAGAGAGGGAGACGGAGACAGAGAGAGACGGGGAAGGGGAAGACAAAATACAAACGAGATGCCTCCGAATGCAGCCGGCCGAACGCGCGCGCGGTACTTCAAAGAGCAACGCTCGGAGCTGCGCTCTTGCCCGCGCCGCGCTGCTGCTACACCGAGCGAGTTTATCCGGACTCCCTCCCCCTCCCCTCTCCCTCCCCCTTTTCGGAACTTATTGAAGGGCGCCCGTACTTTGTGATGAGGGCGTGAGGCGTGTGGCTTCATTAACGCCAATGGGACGCGGTGTGGCGCGGCGCGGCGGCATAGAGAGAGGACCCGCTTCACTACGTTCACTACCCAGACCCGCCCGGGTCGCTTGGCGGTGCGGGGCAGGGCAGGGCAGGGCGGGGCCGGGCCGGGCGGGACGGGGCGGGGCGGGGGCGGAGCGGCTCCAGCGGCACGTATCGACTCGGCGTATCGCCAGCACGCGCCGGTAATTAGCCGCGTGTGTCTGCCTGGAATCAGAAATGGCCTCCGTCCAACCGGGCGGGACCAGCCGGACCAGAGGCGGGCGGGCTGCCGAAACATCCGCGCGGCTGGCGGCTGCGGCGGTGGCGGTCGCGGCACCGCACAGTGGCCACGCCCTCCGACGACGTGGACAAAGTCCGTGTTTTCTCCCGTTTAAAAATGATAAAAAAATAAAAGTGTTGGCGTTGCTTTTGCAGGTTGTCTTGTCTTTGGTGAATTCAGCTTCTGGCTGTGCCAGCAATCCAGATACCGACTTTCGTCAAAGCTTTGCAGATTCCGCAAAGCCTACTGAAGTTATTTATAACATTGAAATTTAGTGTGATTCAGAGGCCCTGTGCTCGCTCGTGTGGGCGGGTGGGTCTACAGCGTAGCCCAAATCATCCGGACAATCTCGTAGTTCGACTGTACCGCTTTGCAGGCGTGTCGGCGCGTTGCCTACTCGCGGTCGCAAGGGGCCACAAAGGCGCCGTAGTGAGAGACGGTAGGCTAGCCCGCCGGGTGCACATAGTTTGCGCTTTCTCCCGCGTAAATAAAAGATAAAGATCATAGACGCTAAAACAGTACGCGATATAACCGCATAAAGAAAGCAAACACTTTTTTGGAACAGTTTATAAGTGAGTAAAATCTATTTGGGAGTTTCAAGGACAAAGTGGGGGGGGGGGGGGGGGGTAATCGAATAACCGACCCACTTTTTATTTGGGACGTCAGTAAAAATTGTAATATAAGAGATTTAAAACAGCAGATAGCAAGCTCGGAACCAAAAGGGGCGACTTTCCGAAGCCGCCAAATTAATCGACGTCGTTCCAGAAAGCAAAATATTTCGAAAAATATAATATAAATTTGAACCTCTCTGATTCCCAAGATGTGTGGGTGACCTATTTTGGGCTCGGTGCTTCCGTATCCTGCTGGTGACGGGCGCGCTTACTTTGGAGTCCTCAACCCGTGCAGAGCTCGTGCTCTATCTCGCGCCCGGCAAGAAACTGCACGTATCAGTGACGTGACGAGCGCCCGCCGCCCGGCGCAGCTTGTCGACTTATATGTAGTCGGTGGGTCGGCAGATGGAGTCAAGTCGTCCAAAGCGCTTCAAGCAACACCATGGCCAAGGTTTTGTTCTGTACGCTGACTCTGTGCGCTGTGGTGAGTACAAGGGAAAGAGGAAGAAGAGATCTGAAAATTAGTTGATGTGCACGAATGAACGTTACGAAGGCATTTTGAGTGCGGGGGCTTGCGCGTCCTTGCACGGCTTGGCCACATTGTGGTCACCACGTACTAAGTGTTTACTGGTCTCATATGCCCCAAGAAATTTCTGGTACAGTTCTAACCAAGTAACACAGAGGAACACTGTCGATGGTTTGTTTATACTCAGTAAACCACGTGAAAGGCAAGTAGTTTAGTTTAGTTGCGCTGTACAGGTTGGCTCATTGACCACGGAGAATTTCATTGTTATACTGTGTACCGCATGCAGCCGTGCGGGCGGGCTTGCCTACCGGTCTCTCACCACGGCGCCTTATAGCCCCGTGCAAGTAGGCAACGCGGCCACATGCCTGCATGCTGTACAGTATAACTACGAAATTCTCCGGGGCCAGTGGGTGGGCGCTGGGCCCATAGTGTTTAATAGTTATTTCTGCGTATCTGCCTCTAGTCGTGAGACATATGGTACAATTTCCCTTCCTCATGTCTGTTCCAGGCCGCGGCCCAGCTCAACAGCTTCAATGACAACCTGGTGGGCCGCACGCCCTCCTCCTCGGTGGCCCAGTCAGAGCTCGCGCAGACCCAGGCCACCCTGCAGACCAGAGACTCGCTGTCCCAGATCGACCTGGCCCGCCTCGAGGCCAAGCTGCTGGCCATCATCGACGTGAACAGGCGCGCTCTGCGGACCGCCGGCGACATCGCCGAGGCCTCCATCCGGTCCGTCCTCCTGGAGCACGTCGATGACGGCTGGCGCGATGATCGCATTGGGCGCAATGGGCGCGACGGTATCAACGGCAACCGGGGCTCGTCTTCCATCGGCACCCAAACGAACACCCCCCTGGGCAGCAGATCGGGCTCCGGCCGCCCCGGCCAGCAGAGCAGCGGCAGCAACAACGCCGACAACGTGTCCGTCGCGGGGGCCGGCTCCCAGCAGAACTCCGGCAACAACCAGTAGACGGACCTGCTCACTGTTAAAACCTTACGAAGAAAAATGCCAAATCCTTCGTGCGTACGAAGGATTTGGAAGCTTCGTAGGTAGCAAATCCTCACAAGATTTTGCATTTTGCTTTTCGTAAGGTTTTAACTGTGCTGAAAATTCAATTAAAGATAAAATGCAGCACAGCGATAATTAACCTTTCCAGTTCGCAAACCCTACCCCGAGGGGTGCCCAACTAAGGTAATCAGGTGTACACAGAGTAGGTAATCCCTGGTAATCACCTGTAATCATTGGCAATCGCCAGTAATCATTAGTAATCACCAGTAATCCTTGGTAATCGCCGGTAATCCTTGGTAATCACCGGGAATCCATGGTAATCACCGGGAATCCATGGTAATCAGCGGGAATCCATGATAATCACTAGGTAATCGTTGGTAAACTCCAGGTAATCGTTGGTAATTACCAGGTAATCTTTGGTTATCACTAAGTAATCCAGCAAGAAAATTCCTGGAAATCTTTGATAATCAGTGGTAATCTTTGGTAAACACTGGTAATCTTTGGTAATCACTGGTAATCTCTGGGAATCACTGGTAATCTTTGGTAATCACTGGTAATCTGTGGTAATCAATGGCAATCTCTGGTAATCTTTTGTCAGTGGTAATTTTCGGAAACCCTTGGTAATCATAGGTAATCTTCGGTAATCTTCGGTAATCTCTGGTAATCCTTGGTAATCATCACTCTTTGGTAATCAGGTGCACACGATTTTTTCGAGTTGGGCACCCCTCGCCCTACCCGTCATTGAATTCACACGCTCACGTTCAAATCTAACAGTAACCGCCCCTGATTCGTTAGCGACCTAGTCAGAAATGCTACATCTAGAATACGTCCAAGTTCGCCTAGACGTCTACGTCTGCGACTACATGCCCTGAAATTAGACCTAGACCAACTGTAGACGTTTCCTAGTTGTGGCATGTTTCTGACTGGGGAATGCCCAGTTGCAGTATCGACCGTCGCCGTAGTTTTTTGATAGTCCGTCGGAGGTGGGCGGGCCTGCTTGTTTGAATCTGTAGAAGTGGGTGGTGGTGGTTGTTTCGGACGGTTCCCTGCACGGTTCCTCCCGGAGGGCCTGCCTCACACATACCGCCGACACACAGAGCAACAACGTGCTCTAATTACCACCCCGTCGGCGCGCGGTTTAATTGCATAATGCGCGGCCCGGCCGTGTATGTGCGGCGCTTTAATTTACACTCTCGTCCCTTTACTACTAAACGAAAACCCATAACCCCCCTCTTTTGCTTGGGGCCGGCCTGCCGGGGCCGCCCTCTATGCTCGGCCGCTATAAAAACGTCAGTGCTTTGCGCGCGCGCGGCGGGGCGGGGCGGGCCCCCGGGACGCGCGGGGTCGCACACGTGGACAAAGTTATGTGCGCGCGGCGCACTTGTGCCGCCCCGTACTTGCTCGCAGGGCGCGCGGCCACGGGCGTGCCAATAGCGCACCGGCGTGGCGAGCGTGACAGTAGCACACGGCCCGGCCGTATGCCCCCCCGCACGTCTCCCTGGAACACATACGACTTGAGAACGTCACCCTCCGCACTCTTACACTACTTACGTACTACACTTACACCCCCTCCGCGGCTTGGCGGTTGCTCATGAGCGTCACCGTCATACCCCGCGCGTCTGCATCCCACACCTCGTGTGTCACGGCCGGCTGCGGCTGCAGGTGCGCCGCGCGTACGTATATACGTGTGGGAGGAGGAGGAGGATGCAGCGACGCGAGCGAGGCACGGCGGCGCGGGGCGACACTCAAACGGCAGTGATTCTCAAGCGACACCCGTCGCGCTGCCACCTGTCCTTCCGCGTGCGCACGGGGGTGCGACCAACGGGTGAGGATGATGCGTCCGACACTTCAATTGCATTTTTTTGAATATTTTTTTCCCGCGAGTGTGTGTGTGTGTGTGTGAGAGAGAATATATTTGTGTGTGTGTGTGTGTGATGCGCGTTGCGCTCCACAATCATGGGGCGGTCTAAAGCGGCGGAATGGAACAGACCGACAGTTGCGATGCGATTTATGGGATTTGGGCGCGCAAAGTGACCGGCGCGCGCGGGAGTTACGATGCATAAAACAGTTGAGGAGCACACGGGGCCGGGCCGGGCGGGCGGGGCTGGGCGTCGCGTGGTGCGGCCGCATAAAACGGACGACGGGCGGCGGAGCAACGGGCAAAAATTTATGCAAAGTATCTCGAGAATCAATTCGAGCGCGTCAGAACGCATCACTACGGCTGCTAATCCGACGGCGCGGCGGCGCCCCGCGTTCCCGGTGCAGCGGCAGCAGCGGCGGCTGTCGCTCCCGCCCCTTCGGGACCCCGTCGGCAGGTGCTGCTCCCTTCCGCCCCCC